CCTGCCAAGCCTAAAAAGCTACGAACCTCTGTCGGATTCAAGGGCCTCGGCCAAGTCATCACAGCTTCAATCTTTTGGCCATCAACCTTGATACCATTGCCAGTAATAACATGACCAAGAAGAGCTATAGAATTTAGCCAAAATTCACATTTAGAGAATTTAGCATATAACTTGTAGTCCTGGAGAGTCTGCAATACAGCTCGCAAGTGGTCTGCATGCTCGGCTTCTGATCGTGAATATATCAGGATGTCGTCAATAAACACAATCACAAATTCATCCAAGAATGGTTTGAATACCCGGTTCATAAGATCCATAAAGGGTGCTGGGGCATTTGTAAGCCCGAAAGAAATGACAAGGAATTCAAAATGGCCATACCTCATCCTAAATGTTGTTTTTGGTATATCAATATCCCTTACTCGTAGCTGATGATAACCGGATCGCAAGTCGATCTTCGAAAAGCATTTGGCACCTTGTAACTGGTCGAACAAGTCATCAATCCGTGGAAGAGGATACTTATTCTTGATAGTGACTTTATTTAGCTGCCTGTAGTCAATACACATCCGCAAGGAGCCATATTTCTTTCGAACAAAGAGCACCCCATGGGGATGTACTTGGCCTTATAAAGCCCTTGTCAAGCAAGTCCTTCAGTTGTTCCTTCAATTCCCTTAACTCTGCAGGAGCCATTCTGTAGGGAGGAATGGATATAGGCTGCGTATCGGGAAGCAAATCTATAGCAAAATCGATTTCCGTTTCGGGGGGAATTCCTGGAAGCTCGTCAGGGAATACCGTCGGGAATTCATTCACAATAGGAACCGACTGAAGAGTCACTGGCTCCTTATCTATATCCCTGACATGAACCAGATGGTATATACAACCTTTAGTAATAAACTTCTGAGCCCTAAGGTATGAAATAAACTTACCCTTGGGCGTGGCTGCATTACCTTTCCATTCAAGGACAGGCTCACCAGCAAAATGAAATCGAACCACCTTTGCACGACAATCAATATTAGCATAACAAGCTGCCAACCAATCCATACCCATAATGACATCCAAGTCTAGCATAACCAATTCAACTAAATCAATGGAGGTTGGACGTTCATTAATTAACATTGTACAACCTCGATAGACATGATTAGCTATAATAGAGTCGCCAACTGGCGTAGACACCTCAACTGACTTTGGCAACAACTCAGATCTCATGTCAAGCTTACCACCAATAAATGGAGTAATATATGAAAATGTAGAGCCAGGATCTATCAATGCCTAAACGGCATGAGAATGTATTGTCAATATACCTGTGACAACATCTGGGGATGCCTCTGAATCCTGTCGGCATGTGAGTGCATAAAAGCGGTTCTGGCCACCACTAGAACCCGAGGTGTCTCCTCCACCTCTCCCCCTACCACGACCCTGAGTAGATTGTGGACCTGGTCGGGGAGAACAGACCGAGGGCGAAGAGGCTGCTGTGTATCATAAAGGCTGAGCTGGTGCACTTCTGCCTAACCCCGGGCACCGGCTAATAAAATGTCCTGTCTGTCCACAATGATAACATGCATTAGAACCCTATCTACACTGCCCGGTGTGCACCTTACCGCACTGAGTACATGGAGGAGTAGGCTATCTCATTTGTGCGGAACGCTCCTGTCGACGGCCCTCAGGCTGGCCTGAGCTGTGCACCGACCCTGACTGAATATAACGATCAAACCGTTGGCCCTGCATCTGTGGTGGGAAACTACTTGCTGACCGAGGTGGATATCGATGGAGTGGGGGCCTAAAATCACTCTGCGGCTCCCTATAAGACCCCATAGTACGAGCCCTCTTACTCTGCTCCCTATCCCTACGAGTATCACGAATCCGACGGGAAAGGTCCTCTGTAGTCTGAGCGAAAGCCTGTATGCGAGAAATATCTACATCATCCGATAGGGATTCCACCCTACAGTCTCTAATCAGACGATCCCCAAAACCATCCACATAATGATGAACTCTAGCTCTCATGGTACGTATGATATCTGGTGCATACCTCACCAAAGAATTAAACTTATGGCTATAATCCCTCACACTCACATCCCATGCTTTAGGATAAGAAACTGGTCAAGACGGGCCTCCCGAACCTCCAGTGGCAAAGAATGGGCTAAAAAAGCCTCAGAGAAGTCCTCCCACTCTGCTGGAGGAGCATCAGGTCCTCTCGATCTCTCCCATGCCTCACACCATAGGACGACTACATCACGTAGTCGAAAAGAAGCCAACTCCATAGCCTCTGTGATGGAGGCATGCATCACCCTCAATACTCTATACATATTATCTATAAAGTCCTGGGGATCCTCAGTGGAACTGGATCCTGTAAATAATGGAAGGGACAAGTGAAGAAACTCTCGTACCGTCGAGCTTCCTGTCCGAACTCTCCGAGCATCTGCTCCCGACTCTAGTTGTCGCTCATGAATTGAAACCATCCTAGTCAGCAACTGAACTGCCTCCCTCATCCCCTGCTCCCCACTCTCTGATGGGGGAACAACATGTGTTGGAGGTCCTGTGTCTCTAGCTGCCTCAACTACTAATGGAACTGGTGAGGCTGGGGGTACTGCATCTCCCTGGGGTCCACCAAGTGCTGGGGAAGCTGAAACTAGGGCTACTGGAGACTTACTGTGAGCCTTTAAGGGAAATCTATCCCTCTGACCCGGTGGGGAACGACTGGTACCTTCCCCCGGATCCATACATATCTCTCGTTGTGCCATCTCCTGAGTGTAGGTAGCCTGTTAGATAAGAAACACAAAGCACGATTTAGATTTCATATGTTCTTATAACTTGACTCTATAGCACGATTTATTAATTGAAAAAAAATGTAACCGTTCCTAAATGCCTCATAGCCTCCTGATTATTAGTGTGGTGCACAACACACCCATAAGCAAGACTCTACTAGACAGGGCTTGTGGACTCCTTGGGATACGACCTGCTCTAATACCAAGTTTGTCACGACCCAAACTAGGGGAGGCACGACTGGCACTCGATCCTGTATTCGATCGAGTTAGCCACTAAACATACTAGCTAACTAAATTGGGGGCCCAATAGATTGGGCAGCACAACTTTTGAAGTACTAAGCCTGGACCATAAAGTCATGACCTGAATAACAATAAGCCGTATAAACAAAGGTAGACGAGCTAAAATAATAAAGTACTAGCTGGCCGACAAGGCCGCAATTTGAGACATACATGCCTACACACATATATACACATGCCAAGCCTATGGGTTGGAGACTGAAAGCTGGAAAAAAAAACCCAGAATACTATGTCCACAATAGCCTCTAAGAGTGTCATAAGCACTGTCGGGATAAGGCCCCGACTATACCCAAAATATACAACAAAAGTAACCATCATATGATAGCTCCAGGAAGAGGTGGAGCTTACCAACTCACAGCTGAACCCCGAAATCCTAGCAGAGGGGTCGATCAGAGTCCCTACCTGGACCTGCACGCACGAAAGAAAAATGCAGTGTCCCCAAGCAACAGGACATCAGTACGAATAAAAATGTACTGGTATGTAAGGCAGAAAGTAGAATTATACATAGCTGATGAAAAAAACGGTAATAGAGATACCGCCAGACACTGAACCTTTGATAGCCTCCATGGCCGACATCCGACCTCATAGTAATCAAATATGCATGGTATGCTCGTGTAATCATATGTCGTGAATACATATATATTGATGCAAATGCATGACATACCCATCCAAATGCTAGCAATGGCGGTCTCTTCCGGTACCTAACCGGCATCATATTGCCAACCTGTGGCCATCTGTACAATACATATAGTCTTTCGGGCAAATAGGCCCCTTACCTCCGATTATAGCTCGAAGTCCATGCATAATATGCCATGTATGATATGAACTTTGAATGCACATAATAGGCCATAACAAGAGCTTAGCCAATCTTGGCTCATTGGTACTCTTATTCTCATAATCTCATAATCACCTTCGTATCGCATACAATTGTCTCGTGGAACCTCATATTTTATTATTCGAATAAGCTTGAAAAATTAACTCGACTTTTAGAAAGATAACTTAACTCTGAAGATGTTCATAAAAAGCTTAAGGTACTTCACTTAGTCCTTATACCTGATGTATTGATAATTAGTAAACGAAAGTATTTTAAAAATCAAGTGTTTTAGTAATTTAAACATAAAAATTATATTTGAGATTTTTGGAAATCGACGTGTCACTTTAGAGATTGTAAGATACACTTTAACAAGGGAGAAGGACTGATCGCAAATACTAAATGCCTTTATTTTCTAGTCACACAACCCTAAGACGAATAAGAATTCATATATATAGACATCTAGTTAAGAAAGCTGAACAAATGACATATATAGATGTCACCCTATTTAACCGAACGAGTGTAATATCAACCTAATAGCATCATGAAAATACATCAGCTACGATCCCAATGCCTTTCATAGAAGGTCTTTCTAGCAATAGAATAGTAAAATATCACATTTGACGTCTTAGGAATTTCCTAGAATTCGTGCTAACAGGAAGGACAGAGTTTAGCCTTAACATACCTCTCCAACGAATGTCTGAATGCCTGTAGTTCCTTCACGAAAGTTGTTCCTTACGCCCTAAGCTTCGAAAACACTATATATATGCAGCTTATACGCACCTATAAACAGTTCATAATTGAGTTTAAATTGGCAAATTTGCCATATGACCTTAACTTGACGAAACGTCCGTAGAACTTTGTAAAAATGATCATAAAAGAGTCCCAAGATGATTACCTTGGAAAACCAAGTATAAATTCTGAAGAACCAGCAAGAATAACAAATTTCTATCTTCCAAAAATTGCTCCAAAACATAGCTAATAGAAGGGGGAAACGATTGCAAAGCGTAGAGATTGCGTTTCTAGGCACGGGGGCAAACTTTAACGGTAGAAATCGTTAAAAATGCACCTTAATCACTCAAGAACACCATGGAACCTTCTCTTCAGCTTTCTTACTGTTTTAGGACGAAAATGAAATGTTTTTAGGTCTGAAAAATCGAATTTGCCGACTTATACTACTTGTTTGACCCGACCCGGTTCGCGACCCGGTTTCAGCCTGGACAGTCCGCGGTAAAACAGTCATAACTTTTTACTTCGATGTCAGATTGATGTGAGGTTTTTTTGGTTGCGAACTAAACTCGTAGAACTTCGATTCGATAGGTTGTGGGTCTCATAACTCTTTATATATTGGGAGAAATCATCTGATACATTTGACCCAAAATTTAGAAAATTTATAAGAGAAATTTACGATAACTTTTGCCGACCTTTATTTCGCAACTTGCTTGACACCAAAACATAACATGTGACCAGTGTGATATTATACCCAATGATATATACCTAATATAACCACACCACGTTACGTATATTATGTAAGAGAAGAGAAAAAAAAACACGGGGTCTCACACTTAACTACATCAGCCGGTTCATAGCACAATCTACAGTTATCTGTGAACTGGTCTTCAAGATGTTGAAGAAGGGTGCCGCCACCGAATGGACTGATGACTGCCAGTAGTAATGCATTATCAACACAATCAAAGAATACCTGTCAACACCGCCAGTCTTGGTCCCGCCTGAACCAGGGAGACCTCTGCTACTCTACATTGCAGTGTTGGATGGTGCCTTCGGTTGCGTCCTGGGGCAGCATGATGAGACAGGAAAGAAAGAACAGGCCATTTACTACCTCAGCAAGAAGTTCACTCCATATGAGGCCCGGTATTCTCTGTTGGAACGCACCTTCTATGCTTTAACTTGGGTAGCTTAGAAGCTTAGGCATTACTTCTGTGCCTATACTACATACCTCATATCAAGGATGGATCCTTTGAAATACATCTTTCAGAAACTCATTCCCACTGGCAAGCTCGCCAAGTGGTAGATCGTGTTGAGTGAATTCGACATTATCTACGTAACTCAGAAAGCAGTCAAAGGACAGGCACTAGCGGATCACCTTGCTGAAAACCCTGTGGATGGAGAATACGAGCCCCTAAAGACGTATTTTCCAGATGAAGAGGTATCATTCATAGGAGAAGATATTGCAGAGTCCTATGACGGTTGGAGAATGTCTTTTGACAAAGCAGCAAATTTCAAAGGAGTTGGCATAGGAGCAATTCTAGTGTCAGAAACCTGTCAGCACTATCCGGTATCCGCCAAGCTCAGATTCCCGTGCACCAACAACATGGCCGAGTACGAAGCCTACATCTTAGGGCTCAAGATAGCCATTGACATGAACATCCAAGAGTTGCTAATAATTGGGGATTCAGACCTACTCATACATCAGGTACGAGGAGAATGGGCGACCAAGAATTCCAAGATACTCCCTTATCTGCACCATGTGCAGGAGTTGAGAAAGTGGTTCACAAAAACAGAGTTCCAGCATGTTCCCAGAGTCCAGAATGAGTTTGCCGATGCATTGGCTACCCTATCATCTATGATACAACATCCAGACACAAACTTCATTGATCATATTCCTGTGAAAATCCATGATCAGCCAGCTTATTGTGCTCATGTCGAAGAAGAAGCAGATGGAAAACCTTGGTTTCACGACATCAAGGAATATTTGTCCAAAGGAGAATATCCAGAGCTTGCAAATACTACTCAGAAGCGCACACTTTGAAGATTGTTCAACAATTTCTTTCACAGCGGAGGAATCCTATATAGGAGGACTCCTGATTTGGGATTGTTAAGGTGTGTCGACGCCAAGGAAGCATCTAAACTGCTCGAGGAAATTCACGCCGAGACCTGTGGTCCACACATGAATGGCATTATCTTAGCCAAGAAGATACTCCGTGCTGGTTACTTCTGGATGACTATGGAGACGGACTTCATCCAGTACGTCCAAAAATGCCATCGATGCCAGATACATGCAAACATGATAAAGGTACCTCCAAACGAGCTTAATGCAACAAGCTCACCAAGGCCGTTCGCCGCTTGGGGAATGGATGTTATTGGACCAATCGGACCTGACGCTTCCAACG